AAATTTGTCTCCTTTCACCTCCTTTCCTGCTCTCTAGCAATGTTCTGTCGTCTGCTTTTGTCTCCTCTTTCTGCCCCCACTCCCTCACCTCCTCCCCCCCTCCCCCTTCTCTGGGGTCCTGATTCTTTCTACAGCCTTTCTACTGCTACTCCTTGACTCCTCCTTACTGTTGTCTTTCTGCCACACCCCTGATCTTCTGGTAGGAAAGATCTACACCTAAACTTCTCGGACAAGGGCGAAAAATCTTGGAGGGCCCGTGTGCAAGTTGCGCACGTTAAAGATCTCTTGGTGGTCTAAAATCGATAAGAGTAGGCTTCGGCCGTCACCCGAACTGAAAAAGTTTATTGTGTCCCGCGCGCTCAAATGACCTTATGCAGTTGCGAGCGCCGTTAAACACTTACAAAAACGAGAATGTAATTTTTATCTATTCGGACTCGGGTCCGGAAAAAAAAAAAGGTTTTATTTATTCGGACTCAGCTTATAAGTGAGTTATGTGAGTGTAAGGAATATAAATGTCACCGAGAGATTTTACGTAAAACCAGAATTAGAACGAGAATTGCCTACTAGGACTGTGTAATTGTGTCAAAAGTCAAAAGACTGCTCTCTCATTTCCCAATGGCAGTATCCAGTGGCGTCGCGTGGGTTGCAGACAAGGTGGTGCATAATTGGAAAGTGAGCAAATGGGCAATAGGCTTAGTAGCTACTTTTAAGATATCTGGAGAAAGTCAGTTAGAATCTGCAGGATATCCAATAATCTACATCTATCGATATTTACAACTGTTTCTAGATGAAACCGCATAAACGCTGCAATAAAGTGAAACAATACTAACAACTCACTATGCTCACAATCTGAGAAGATTTAAAGATTTCTAATTGCTGTACTTCGTGCAGCACCAGGACTTGCTACACAATAGAGGGAGACAACAGTGTCGATACCCATTATTCTTCCCTGAGTTACCGTAGACTCTACTAGTGTTACAATAGATAAGCTCGCGGAAACTTGGATCAAATGTTTAGCTTGCACCAAATTGGTGCTGCGAAGAGCAGTTCCATGCACTTTTCTTCTTGTGCGGGGAGAACGATGCCTAGATTTCTCTACAGTGACAAAAATAACTTTGGTGCAAAGATTTTGCTTGCTCCCAGCAGACACTACCGCATGCGATGCGACGAGCATAAACCCTCCTCGCCGTCTGTCTCGTCACTGGCGCAGCCAGCGGGTGACGGATCGCGAGGATGTAGTAATGCCGATATAGAGGCACTGACTGGTTTAGAACAATTAGAAAAAGGGGGCGGCG